CTCCTCCTCCTCCTCCCCACCTCGCACCTCCACCTCCACCTCACCTCCTCCTCCCCCCGACCTCCTCCTCCTCCTCCTCCTCCTCCTCCTCCTCCTCCTCTCCTCCTCCTCCTCCTCCTCCCTCCTCCTCTTCCTCCTCTCCTCCTCCCCTCCTCCTCCACCTCCTCCTCCTCCTCCTCCTCAGCTCCTCCTCCTCCTCCTTCTGCTCTCTCCTCCTCCCCTCCTCCCCACCACCTCCACCTCCTCCTCCTCCTCCTCCTCCTCCTCCCTCCTCCTCCTCCTCCTCCTCCTCCTCCTCCTCCTCCTCCTCGTGTTCTTCTTCTTCTTATGTTTATTATTATGCTTCTTCTTATTATTACTACTATTATTATTATTATCAGTATTATTATTATTATTATTATTATTATTATTATCATTATTACTAGTAATATTATTATTAGTAGTATTATTATTATTAGTATTATTAGTATTATTATTGTTATTATTATTATTGTTATTATTATTATTATTATTATTAGTAGTAGTAGTAGTATTATTCTGAATATTCTTCTTAGTATGAGTATTATTCTTATTCTTCTTCTTATTAGTACTATTCTTCTGAATATTATTCTTATTATTATTCTTCTTATTCTTATTAGTATTCTTCTTATTATTAGTCTTATTATTATTATTCTTATTATTATTATTCTTAGTATTATTATTGTCGTTTTATTATTATTATGATGATTATTATTATTAGTGTTTTTATTATTGATAGTATTATTAATGTTATCATTATTTTTTATTATTATTAATATTATTGTTATTATTATTATTATCATTATTATTCTTATTACTATTCCTCGTATTCTTATTATTCTTAGTATTCGTTTTATTATTATTCGTCTTCGTCTTATTATTCTTCTTCTTATTATTATTAGTATTAGTAGTAGTAGTAGTAGTAGTAGTAGTAGTAGTAGTATTATTAGTATTATTATTCGTATTAGTATTATTATTATTAGTAGTCTTCTTCTTGTTATTATTATTATTAGTATTATTCTTAGTCTTCTTAACAGTATTAATCTTATTATTATTATTCTTCTTCTTATGAGTATTAGTATTACTACTACTACTACTACTACTACTAATAGTATTATTATTATGATTAATAGTATTATTATTATTCGTGTTAGTATTCTTATTTTTCGTCTTATTCTTCTTATGTTTATTATTCTTCTCTTCTTATTAGCATTATGATTACTAGTATGATTATTATTAGTATAATTATTACTACTACTATTAGTATTGTCATCATCATTAATATTATTACTGTTATTATTAGTAGTACTATTATTATTCTTATTCTTCTTAGTATTATTACTATTATTATTTTTCCTCCTCCTCCTCCTCCACCTCCTCCTCCTCCTCCTCCTTCTGTCGCGACACCTTCTCCTCTCAGCGGGGTCGGCCGAATCTCTTGATACACGACGTCGCGGGAACTACGCGGCGCCGCAGGCTCGTGGCCGCCCAGCGCAGGTAGCAACGATGCTGTCTCAGTTCAGCTGTCGGCCAGTGGTTCTCTCGCTTCAAGGAGCTGCCTGTTAATATCAAGAAAACGCAGTACTTGTGCACTCGCGAGGTTCAAAGACATGTTGGGGCACTGTGGCCCCTGCCTCCCGCATCGAGGGTCGAGTACGCTCGCAATTCGAGGGCGGGCGCCACCCTGGGAGGAGCCCGCAGGATAGGAGTGAGCTGGGCCAGGTGCACCGACGCGGGTTCCAGGTCAAAGCGTTTTCGGTGCCCGAAGGAGGCCAGAGCGGACGCGGCCCTCGCACTGCGCACGGGGGCCGCTGCTGCAGCGCGCTGGGGGAGCAGCGTCCCCGGCACTCCTCCGCAGGCCCCGCATGGGCTCGGGTTGTCTGCGACCCGCAGCAGAGGCCGTCACCCGAAAGGAGCTTCCTCGTGAAATCGGTTCCGCTCACTTCTTTTGGGGGAACTCGTGGGCCCCCTGGTGGCCCACACGGGCCGCGCGGCCTCCCAGCAGGCGACTGCCGTCCGTGGCAGCTGTCCTAAGGTTGCGATGTTGAACGAGTCCGTCGGCGCGGCCATCCTCCGCGCGATGTCGAAGACGCGCCCGCGGCAAGGAGCTGCCGCGGCAGCTGACGCAGCCGTTCGAACCAGGCAGCGCATCGACTGCAAGTTCTGGGACCTTCGTGCTGTTGAAACCGACTGAAGCCAGGTCTGAACGTGCCCCAGATCTCGCCTCCGGAGCTGCGGTCGCAGGTTAGGGCCGGTGCGACCAGAGCGTCGGACCGCCTGTCGCTCGGCCAGCAGGGTGAAGAGCTCTCAGGGTGCCCTCTGTTTTAAGCTGTCCCCTAGCTCTAAGTCGGGCCTGTCCCCCTACAAGCGGACTTGGAGAGAAGCATACAAAAGAGCCCCGGAAATTAACAAACATTGACCAAAAAACGAAAAATCGTCCCCTGACTACTCATGACAAATAATTGAATCTTCCTCCTGTAGATGGACATGCCCGACTGAACTCTAGCCTCTCCTGCGATCCTCCTCATCCGTCTGGGGCCCCAGGCACCAGAGGACGCAGGCTGGGGCCCCATGAGGCTCTGCAAGGGAGGACAGGGGGGCGCTGTGGACCAGGTTTTTGTTCGTCGGCGGCGGGGCGGAGGCGATCCGCACCAGCGTCGGGCTAATCGGGGGCACCGCTTGGCATCAGGCGTGCAAGAGACCGAGAGGGAGGAGCGGGCGCCCGCGCGGGGGAAAGGAGGCAGGCGCTCAGAAGCGGAAGAATTCCGCGGCGAGCGGGCCGGAGCGGCCAGCCAGGGCAGCGAGGGCGCGGCAGGGGCGGTGTGGAACAGGCAGCTCCGGTGCACGGCCCACGCTGCGCCGCGTCGGGATGGAGTCTCGAGGGCCTCGGCGCGCCGCGCCGCGAGGTGGCGGAAAGGTTCTCGCGCGCGCTGTGCCCCTCGCCTCTGGCGCTGTGATCCCTGCCCGGGAGCCTGACCAAATGATCTTCTGGATCAATGGGCCTGCGTCCGGCCGCCTTTCTGGCTTGACTTTGGCTGCTGGGTCCGCGTTCTGGCCCGAGATGGGCAGGACGGGCCCCTCTTCAGGTGGACAACCAAGGGCAGGTCCAGGATGCCTGCCAAGGCCCTGCGCCCCGTGCCCACGGGCCACGTCAGACGGCCAGGGACGGCGAAGACTATGCTGTGTTCATGCTGACGCAGTGTGCCATGGCTCCCATGGAGGTTCTGTGACTGCCAAGGGGCCTTGAATGTTCTCTGGGTCTGGGGCGCTGGAGGCTCTGCGGCGCCTGCGGGAGATCTCTGGGCGCCCTTCTGGTCCATTTTCGAGGCGTCGGATTTCGCGGCTGCCAAGGAGGCTGCGCACTGCGAGTTTTCCGACGTCCACAGTGGCGAGAACACGATGTAGAAAAAGGAAACCAATGATTCTGCAGATATGCATGCAATATTGAGCGCTGCCAAGCATGCTGTGTGCGAGGCAGACGTGAGCCTGCACAATGGACACTGGTTTCGTTCAAGTGCCTCGCGAAGGAGTCTGCACGCTGGGCCGCCCAGCTCAAGGTGCACTTGCAGTCTAAAACTCGGCTCGAGACGGTAGGATTGGATCCCAGCGGAGTCCATCCAGTGCCTGGTTCCGTTGAGCTGCCGTCGCCAGAGAATGACCCTGAGCCACGGGCCTCTCGAGGATGAGGTTGGCGGGGGCGGCGCTGGCGACGAGGCGAGTGCTGTTTTGGGGGAGGGGCGGGGGGGCTGGACTGGCACGACGTGGCCACCTCTGCCTTGCATTTGACGGGTCACGCCTTGATGCGCTGTGAGATCGAGCCCCCTCTGCGCGCCGGCGTCGCCCCAGTGCACTGCCTACGGCGCGGCGCCCGCTGCGAAGGCGCTGGGCCTGGCCGGCGTCTGCGGTCCGGGCGCAAGTGGCACCCCTGCGCGCCTCTGGCCTGGCCCCCGCCGAAGCGCATCGGAGATGGCGATCACCCCCGCGGCCGAGCCACGACCGAACATGCTGCCTCGAGTGGCTCAGCTCCCGCGGCCTCGGCGAGGCTGAGCAGGATCCGACAGCAGTTCGGGCCCTCTCTCGGCCTGCCCCCGCCGCCCCCCGCAGGGATGTGCCGAGCAGCAGGGGGCCTGCGCCCCGCGAGGCAGCCTCGCCCGCGCTCGGCCTCGCGGAGGGGGACCTCGACATGGCCAAGGCCCTGGGCGAGGCCGCCCAGGGAGGCCCCCGAGGATCCAGAGAATGAGGGGCCCTCCGATTATGATGGCGAGGTTTTTGTTGTCTTACTGACTTCAGGTCGCTCCACAACAACCTCCTCCTCCCCCCTATCCCCCTTTTCCTGCCCCCTCCCCCTCCTCCTCCTCCTCCTCCTCGCTCCTCCTCCTCCTTCCTCCTCCTCCTCCTCCTCCTCCTCCTCCTCCTCTCCTCCTCCTCCTCCTCCTCCTCCTCCCTGCCTCCTCCTTCCTCCTCTCCTCCTCCTCCTCCTCCTCCTCCTCCTCCTCCTCCTCCTCCTCCTCCTCCTCCTCTTCGCCCTCCTCCCCGTCCTCCTCCTCCTCCTCCTCCCCCTTCCTCGCGCGCGGCCGCAGGCGCCCGGCCCTCAATGTCAGAGCCGATGGAGCGCCCACCGCGCAGTGGGGATGCGCCCCCGACCCAGTCGTCGGGAAGCAGTCGGAGGCACTCGGCGCGGCAGTGAGTGAACGGGGTGGCAGCACCAGCAGGGGCGCGGAGAGAGGCGCGGAGAGAGGGTGGCGAGGCCACTGCGACCAACATCAAAAGTGGGTCGCAAGCCGGCGAGGTCGAGATGGCGGCCAGATGCCGCAGGCACTGCGAGCAGGACCAATAGTGAGCCAGCATGCCAGGCTCACCTCGGCAGCCAAACTTTCACGGCGAAATTCCTTGAAACCTTCCATCGGTGGCCCATCCCCCATCAGAAGCTTGGTGTGACCCATCAAGAAAGAGACGCTCAGACGAGATATCTCAACGCGAACGAGGTCCCAGGGACGAAAGAGGGCGTCTCCATAGCTGATGCGAGGGGCCCATTGGGACAACCGAATGGAGACGTTTTCGCGGAGACCGGGCAGGAAGAGATGTTGATTCAGCTGGGTATTCAATGACGCTATATTTTGATCCTAGAATTAGGCTCAGCTGCGGCAGCGGCATCTGCGAGCGAAGGAAATGGCTGAGCGAGAAGCCCAGGCGACGCGCCCGCCGGTGAGGAAAAGGGCCGGCGCGCGACGAGGGCGCGGCAGAGAGGGGGGGGGAAGGCGTCGTCGGCAGCAGCAGGAATCTCCACGGAGCAGGGGAGAAGCCAGAGGGCTGGCGACAGCGGCGAGGCGCCGAGGCGAAAAAGCAGTCGGGAGAGCTCCGCATCAGCGACGGCCGCGGGGACGCGGAGCAAGTCGCACCAACGGCGCGAGGTGGCGCCGCGCAGCACGCATGAGAGCGGCATCGGCGGTGCCGCCTCTGATGCCGCCCCAAGAAGGCGAGCTCGAGCCAGCCGGCCCTCGGGGTGACACAGTGAGGGGCCCGCAAGGATTGCGCTTGACACTGCCGGCCCCTGCGGGGGGGGCGAGAGCTGGGCCGCGCAGCCCAACGCGGAAGCAACTCGACGTGCACGCACTTTGCACTGAAGCAGCACTTTTTTTGACATCAACTCTTCACCCTCTGAGTCAGACCCCGAGCGCCACGAGCTCCGCGAGCAACAGCACCACGAGCAACGCGAACACAGGACCTCCGAGACGGCGAGCAGCAACGAGGGGGGCACAGCTCGCACCACACAGGCGCCCGCGGGCTTCCAGCACCGCATGCCGCAAACGCCACCGCGACGACGTCAACTCCGACGCCAGCCGCGAGGAGGAGGACCACGGCCTCCCTCAGCAAGCCCGCCGCCACGCGCAGCAAGCTCCCGCTCCAAGAGCCCGACCAAGGAGTGCAGCTCGGCGTCACTGAGTGGCGCGTGGTTCGCGATGCGGTGGCCCAGGCGACTCGAGAGGTCGGCGGCGCGCTGCGCGAGCTGAACACGCGCATCGCTCTTGTCCTTGCCCGCGCCGCCCGAGACCTCGCCGTTGTCCCTGCCTTTGCCAGAGCCAGAGCCGCCCGCGCGGCGAGGACGCCCATGCACGATAGGCAAGGCATCCGCCCAGTCGTCGGGCGGCAACTCCATGGCGACGTCGACGGCCCCCTGCGCCGCCGCCGCCCCTGCAGCCGCACCGCCATCCATCTCCGCGACGATGGCCACCTCCTCCTCCTGGGACTTCTCCTCCACGACGTCCATCTTCTCGTACTGCTCGTCCGCCTCCTTCAGACCTCCGCGGCCGCGCGGGCGTCGGCGCCGCGGCACCTTCGGGGGGCCCCCGTGGTCGACGGCGGGGGAGGCGGGCGGCGTGCCGAGCTCGGCGACCGCCGTGCGGAGGAGCCCCTCCGCCGCCCGCAGGAGCCGCGCCGCGGAGCGCAACCCTCCCGCGGTGGCGAGCCCGGCAGCGGCGTGGACCGCCAGGACGGCCCCCCTGGAGGCCTCCAGCGCGTTCGCCGTGCGGGCGTCCTTCGCACCCGGCATCTGGGCGCGCGGCGGCCGAGCGGAGAGGTTCGAGCCGCCATCCTGCCGCGCCGTGGCGACAGGAGCCCTCCAGAAGTGGACTTCGGCGGCGGGGCCCAACCAGAGGCCGAGGCGTTTCACGACAGCACGCGCGTCAAAGGCCGACCACGTCGGCGGATTGCTGGCAAGCTATTCAGAACACCTGCGAAGGAGGTCGCTGGTCGCGAGCAGCGGCGCGATCTTGCACTGCGCGGTCTTCGGCGTCAGCGCGGCCACTCGCCCCGCCGCGGCGAAGGTGCGGCGGGACATTTTCAAGAAGACTGCCTCGCGAACTGCGGCCCTCCACATCATATGCACGCGCACGAGCCAAAGCGCCGCCCAATCTGGTCATAGAGGCTTTTAAGATCCGAAGTCAGCTAGATCTGGAGATCCTCGACCTTGGCAAAAGAAGGAAAAGTACAACTACGCGTACGACACGATAGCACGAGTGTAAAAAGAAGTACGGATCGGAAGAACGAGCCAGGCGAGGTCAGCGAAATGCGAATGTGAAAGACGTGCAACGCGGAAATACGGGCACGAAATATATACGGAAAAAAGGACGCACATCCAAAGTACGACAAAATATTTGAAAGTTGTGAAAATATGACAAATACGAAGCGCGAAAAAAGTGTGACTAAAGTATATATCGCACACTTTCCTCTCGCTTCGGATTTCTGAACGTCTGTTCTTCGTACTTCTGCACGGCGCATTTATCGCGCTCGTACTTCCGCGTGGCACTTTTTCTATAGCAAGCGGGATAATTCCCTACCTAGGCTCTGCCTAGAAGGGTTCTTACCCTGTAACTTAAAGGGGCCGGGCAGTGCAAATCGCCCCTGGCGGTTCCCCCAGTCCCCTGGGAGCCAAGCAAAAGCAACAGCAAAGGTAAAAGCAAACGCGCGGTTCCCCCAGTTGCGCTCCCTGGGTGCCAAGCAAAAGCAGAAGCAAAGGCAAAAGTGAAGGCAAAAGCGAAGGCAAAGCAAAAGCATAGCATAGCATAGCATAGCATAGCATAGCATCGCATAGCATAGCATAGCATAGCATAGCATAGCGCAGCATAGCACAGCGCAGCATAGCATAGCATAGCATAGCATAGCCTAGCTAACCTAGCCTAGCCCAGCATAGCATTGCGCAGCATAGCATTTCATAGCATAGCATAGCAAAGCATAGCATAGCATAGCATAGCATAGCGCAGCACAGCATCCACGATTGCTGCTGCTATATATCTATATATATATATATATATATATATATATGTGCTGCTTTCCTAGAGGCTCCAACTCCTAGGTAGGGTCGCACTGCGATGATTTGCGTTCCTCTGTGCGGGGGGGGGGCGCCACTGCAGCTGGCCAGAATCTCTCAAACAGAGGCGCCCGCTCCGAGGCAGGAGCAGCCCTCTGCAGGAGCGAAGACGGTGCCGGACGCCGGGCATCCTCGGACCACGCCGCAGTCCTGCCAGAAGAGCACGGCGACGGTGGCCACGAGAGCGCCGTGGCAGAGCAGGTTAGAGCACGAGGATATCACGAACGCTGTGGCAGGGTCAGGAATTCGTATAGCACCCAGCACTCGATGAAGCCACTCATGGCCCAAGGCGGGAAACGCCTGGCCGAAGTCGAAACTGGTGAGAGTGGGCGAGTCGGACAGAGCCGATGGCGACGGGGAGACACTACGCGAATCACAGTCATTGCTCACAAACTTGCGAAGTCGAATGAATCACACTTGCATTTAGGCGACATAATCGGGCCTGTGATTGATAAGTCTGACAAGTGCAACCGCCGCGACGACTTTGTTGCGCGCAATTTTGAATCCCAGGGGCCCCAGCCCAGAAGTCTCTCTCGCACGCCTGTGTTGCTCGTCCTCATCACTCCCCCATTAGGACTAAAAACACAATGAGGACAGCAGTGTTCCCATGCATCGCGGGGCGGCCGTCAAGCTGCCAGGCGAGAGCCTCGCATAGAATATCGCACGCACGCGGGCCATGTTTGCACGCGTTGTATGGGGAAGGGGCCAGGGCCTGGGGAGGAGTCGCATAAGCTTCCGAAATCATCGACCGCCCCTCGATATCGAGGCAGGGGAAGATCTTGGAGGTTGCGCCAGGAGGCGAAGCGGGAGAGGCGGAGCTGCCCTGCGTTCGGCTCGACGGGGTCGGCAGAGAAGACGCCACCCCGGCGCGAAGCAATCGCCGTGCACACGTCCTCGTGGGAGGTGTCAATTATTTTGTTCGGGCGCGAATGACACGATGAGCAAATCCGCCGCGCCCTCCAGGGGCCTCTGTGCCCAATGCGAAACGCCGATCCGCCGCCGCCACTTCGGGCAAACGCAGTGCGCGTGCAACCCTGACGGCTGGGCGTAGATGTTTTTCGCCCGGGTTGGTTTTCGCCCGGTGCGTTTCGCCCGGTTCGTTTCGCCGGGGTTGGCTTTCGCCCGGTTGGCTTTCGCCCGGGTTGATTTTCGCCCGGGTTGGCTTTCGCCCGGGTTGGCTTTCGCCCAGGTTGGCTTTCGCCCGGTTGGCTTTCGCCTGGGGTGGCTTTCGCCCGGGGTGGCTTTCGCCCGGTTGGCTTTCGCCCGGTTGGCTTTCGCCCGGGTTGGCTTTCGCCCGGTTGGCTTTCGCCCGGGTTGGCTTTCGCCCGGTTGGCTTTCGCCCGGGTGGGCTTTCGCCCGGGCTCGTTTTCGCTTGGGTTCAGCGCCGCGGGGCCCCGCGCCGCCCTGGCCGGCGGTGCCGCCCCAGCCGCGGTGCCCGAGGCCGCTAGCCCTTGCTTGGTGCCAACGAACCGGCGTGGGCTCAAATTGCTTCACGCAGGCTACTGCTACAGGATCAATCACACCAGCAAGAAAGGCGTTTCAATGTGGGAGTGCTACAAATGCTCCGCGTCCATCAGGAGCGCGGGGGCAACGGGCATGGATCCCGGGCGAGGGCCCCGGGCCGGCCCCGACACAACCCGCCCGTTAGGGTCCGCCCGACGCGCCCCGCCCGTTAGGTCCGCCCGCCCGATCGGACCCGCACGCTAAGGTTCACACATGCGCACTACTCGAGCGCGCCCCCACACTTTAGTGTTCCGCCCGCCCGACTCGACCCGCCCGTCATGGTCCGCCCAACCCGACCCGACCCGTCCCGCCCGTCAGGGTCCGCCCGACCCGACCCAACCCGCCCGTGAAAGCTCGCGCGTGCTCGTCCCGCCGCGCCCCACACTTTAATGTCCCGCCCGCCCGACTCGACCCGCCCGTTAGGGTCCGCCCGGCCCGACCCGACCCGTACCGCCCGTTAGGGTCCGCCCGCCCGACCCGACCCGCCCGTTAGGGTTCACGCGTGCTCACTCGAGCGTGCGTCCACACTTCAATGCTCTCCCTGCCCGACCCGACCCGCCCGCTAGGGTTTGCTCGACCCGACCCGGACCCGCCCCGCCCGTTAGGGTCCGCCCGGCCCGACCCGACCCGCCCATTAGGGTTCACGCGTGCTCACTCGAGCGCGCCCCACACTTTAGTGTCCCGCCCGCCCGACCCGACCCGCCCGTTAGGGTCCGCCCGACTCGACCCGACCCGCTTCGCCCGCCAATGTCCGCCTGCCCCACCCGACCCGCCCGTCAGGGTTCACGCGTGCTCACTCGAGTGCGCCTCCACACTTTAGTGTCCCGCCTGCCCGACCCGACCTGCCCGTTAGGGTCCGCCCGACCCGAACCCGCCCCGCCCTTAGGGTCCGCCCGACCCCGACCGACCCGCCCGTTAGGGTTCACGCGTGCTCACTCGAGCAGCGCCCCACATTTTAGTGTCCCGCCCGCCCGACCCGACCCGCCCGTTAGGGTCCGCCCGGCCCGAACCCGCCCCGCCCGTTAAGGTCCGCCCGACCCGACCCGACCCGCCCGTTAGGGCTCACGCGTGCTCACTCGAGCGCGCCCCACACTTTACTGTCCCGCCCGCCCGACCCGACACGCCCGTCAGGGTCAACCCAACCCGACCCGACCCGCCCCGCCTGCCAGGGTCCGCCTGCCCCGCCCGACCCGCCCGTCAGGGTTCACGCGTGCTCACTCGAGTGCGCCTCCACACTTTAGTGTCCCGCCTGCCCGACCCGACCTGCCCGTTAGGGTCCGCCCGACCCGAACCCGCCC